GCATGCTGGGAGATCAAGGTCACATCTTTGGCATCTAACTGTCTAATTGAGTTGGGGGGGGGGTTCTGTTTTTTTTCAGTTTTGACTCAAGGACTCCTCAAGGAAGGATTGCTTCCAAGCATACTGCCAGGTAAACTCCAGGGATCATTGAATAATGTCCTCCGCCATGCGTCAGGTCTCCTGAACATCTTGGGCAGCCCACTCACCAGTGGGGATGTCGATGTTGGGTGAGTGGCCTCTGATCACCTGCTGGTCCAGGCTGTGCTGGCTTGTTGGTTTGTTAGAGCTCTCCTCACATTTCCTGACTCTGCAGAGGCCCTTCCCTCCGCTAAGAGCCCTTCCAGCTCTGATGGCCTGAGGTCCCCTGGTTGCAGAATCTCCCTCTGAGGGTGGAGGCAGGAAGCTGGGAGGTGCTAAAGACAGAGAGACAGAGGAGTTCAGTCCCCTTGTCTGGGAAGAGGATGGCTGCTCGCCAGCTGCGAGAGCACCACCAGCCTCTTCCCTTCTGAGCCTCAACTTATGCCCTGTTAAGTGGGAATAATAGCTGCTGTGGACACAAGGCTGTTGTGAACATTAACTGAAATAACAGGTGTAAAATGTGTAGCACAGGGCCCTGTCCTCAGTAAGTCCCCAGTCAGAGGTAACAAAACGGCAACAACACTACTCAGCTGGTAATCATAATAACAGATGATAGCGACTGACCGCCAGAGCGTGGAGGACTCGGGTCCCTTGTCTCACAAGCATCTCAAATCCAACACATCCATGACTTAATGGCTGATTCCTGCCTTCACTCCCTGGCCCAACCTGGTCCTCCCCAGCCCATCCCGTCTTAGCTAAAGACAACTCCACCCATCCAGTTGCTCTGGTCAAAAATCTCAATGCCCTCCTTGGCTCCTCTCTCTCTCATACTCACATCCAGCCTGTAGGCATGCCCTGCCAGCTCTACCCTCAAAACATGCCCAGGCATCTGACCATTTTCTCTACCTCCCATGGTCTGGGCCGCCATACTCTCCCCGTTTAGTTTACTGTCCTAGGTCCCCCTGCTTCTGCACCCAAGCCCCTGCCTCCTCCATTCAGTTCTGCCAGTATCCAGAGAAATTTTCCTAAGAAGTAGGCCAGACTCTGTAACTCCCTTGTCCAAGCCCTCCAGTGTCTTCTCATTGCTCTCAGAACCAAAAGCAAAGTCCTTGCCATCGGCCCACAGTGCTCCACGCGGTCTGGCCCTGGCTGCCTCTCCCACCAGTTCTCCTACTGCTCTTCCTTTGCTCACTGCCCCCAGCCACACCAAGCCTGTTGCTGCTCCTCAAACTTGCAAGCCAAGTTTCAGCCTCAGGGCCTTTGCACTTGCTCTGTCTTCTGCCTGGCCCTTTCTTACCTGGCTGTCTGCATGACCGATGCCTTGACTTCATTAATGACTCTGCCTAAATGCACCTGCTACGAGAAGGCTTCCCTGACCACCCTGTCTAAAATTCTCTTTCCAATGTCAGCCTCCATCCTCTGATCCTGTGGTGTCTTTTCTTACAGCACCTATTGCCTGACCCATTCTATATGTATTCATTTACTGGGTTTATTCTTTTACACATACACACCTTCCCGGAGCATCTGTTGTACATGGCTTCCAATCTTTTATTTATTCATTTACTGGGTTTATTCTTTTACACATACCCCCCTTCCCGGAGCATCTGTTGTACATGGCTTCCAATCTTTTTTTTTTTTTT